AGCTCTTCTTTTAATTACGGTGATTTTGCCAAAAGAAAATAAAAGGTGAGGGGCCATCCTCACGACCCATCACAGGTGCTGAGAGTTCTTATTGTTGGTTGGTTTGAGCCTTGTAAAAATCAATTCTCCCCTCATTCAAAACCAAGCACATAGGAGTGCGTGCAGCCTTTTTCATTCTTCGTTTCAAAAATAAAGAAGTTTTCCTTTCTCCTCTATTCATTTCTCTACTGTGTATTCTCTTGCATCATTCAGTATCTCTCTGTCCCTCCCTAACTTTTTTTACAGGTAGCAACATGGCTATTTTCTGCACTTCACCACCATTAGAGCTAATAGTGTAAATATTATTAGTCCATATAAATTAGCGCACATGATATTTCAAAATTAAAGATCTCCACCATGGTTTCTGCTAAACCTAGCACCTATGCTATAGAGACCCTGGTGCTTGTAACAACACTGAACAAACTGTTGAAAGAAAGACCACCTCTCGCAGTCTCCAGCAGTCCCCACAATCTTCTTCTTGTCATAAGGAAGGCGACATGCAGGACACCTCCCTTCTGTGTCATCCTTCTCCGCCATGTCCATTATGTGATGCCAACACCAAACACATATCTGTGACGGAGAAGATACATTATCACAATCAAATAAACACACCAATAATTGTTGTTATGAAAACGAAAGGGGAATAGTCAACTAGTAGCAAAAAAAAAAATTAATGGGATTAGAAAGCCAAGAACTCGCCAAACAAGAGGAAAGCAAAAGCAAGGAAAAATTGCTGAAATAACTTGACAGATACAAAAGTTTATCATTATATGAATGACAAAATGGTTTGGCTACAAAGACTGGTTAATGGAGTAACAGCACAATTAGGTCATAAAAACCCTCCTGATTGCAAAAATGCATTCATCACGAATACAGTCTAATCTAGAAAATTTATAAGGAATTCGAACCTCGTAACCACATTTGCAAGGCTTTAATTGCTGATCAGTTAAATCCATCTCCTCAGCACAAAGTGGGCAAGTCTTTTCACCCTCGTCGCTCATGGTTGTCCTATTATTAAATTCAATTAAAACATCAAAGTTAGCAATCCATGTATATAAAAATAAATTATGACCCCAACAGAAAGAACATGTTTTGTCAATCTCAGCTGAATTTCATTTTCTATTGTAATATAAAATGGGCAGGTTATAATTTCAAAACCCTACAAAAATCCCCAAAAAATTCTCTCAACAAACCCTAAAAGGATTATTCACTCACACAAAATCAGAAAATCAATTATGATCTCCAACACCAAAAATAAATCGCAGATCAGGAGAAAAAATCAATTCACAGACGATGGAATTTAAAAAAAAAAAATCAAAATCGATTGCGTGTAATTCTAAAAAAAATAGAAAATAATTAGGGATCTTGAAAATTATAGCCAGATCAAAAGGTAAAATCAGAAAATTAAGGGTCGTGGAGGCTTACAGTCTGTGGATCGAGAAAGAAAGAGGGCGAATCTGATAAGATGAGATTGAAGATAGGGGGGGAAAGGGAAGAAAAAACAAAAACTTGAGAGAAACAAACCACAAGGGAAGGGAAAAGAGAAGGCTTTTATTTTATTTATTTAGTTTAGGCGAGGGAGGGAGAGAGAGAGTGAGGGAAGGCTGTGGCTGTTTGCGACTACGCGTTGCTTTGGTTTGGTTTGGTTTTCTTCTCCTTTCCTTTGGCTGCAGCCTATTTTGCCTTTCTTTTCACTTTCTTTGCGTAGGAGTCATTCAAATATTGTCATTTTCCACATCATGCCCTTCGTTTTTACTTTATTTTCCAACCCTCCCCCGGTTTGGTCCCTGGCTGTGGGGTTTTAGATGATCGCCGCGTGGCCCAGGTTTGGAATCTCTCGGTTGGGAGAGATTTGGTTATTTTTTAATTTTATTTTCAGTTGAGCCCATTATTATGTGGGCCTCCCGGGTGCATGTTTTCAACAAGACGGCTCGTGTTAGGTTTTAGGGGAAACCTCAGCTTAGCCCCTAGCAGTTTACCCCATTGTCAATTAAGTCATTAATGTTTTGATTTTATCAATTTCACCCAAATACAATCGACATTGGCTGTTACCATCCCTCATCAAAGTGCTAAAATAAGCCTTAATATATCCTAACGAAAGATTTTAGCATCAATTTAGTAAAAAATTGAAGTTTTAAAAGCTAAAATAACTTAATATATCAACTACACCGATGGATGTAAGGTAGTATGGAATGTCGGTTGTGTTTGGCAAATTTGATAGAGTTAAAGTATTTGGAATTTAATTGATAACAAGGTAATATAGTAGGTGTTGAATAAAAGAGGTCTCATGTGAATTTTTTAATCCAATAATTAACAAACAACTAAAATTAAAAAACAAAAATCCATTGCACCTACTTTTGCGTTTTTCTATTTACCATGTAATGATGTTTTGTACTTCTCGTTGTAAAAAAAAAAAACATTTAAACCATGTTATCTTGGTGTTTTTATAATATACATTAGTTATTACTAATTTGTTTGTGATATTTTTATATATTTAATATTTTAAAGAATAATAAAATAACCAAAATATTCTTAAAAGTTTAAAAAATAAGTAGTATTGGGTAGGAGTATTCAGATATTTTTGTTTTTTATACAAAGTAAAATTACATATATATTATTTGATGCAAAATATTAAATTTATCATAGTTAGGGATATTTTAATCTTTTGGTGTTTTTGTTAATTATAAGTTTGGTTACTAATTTATTATTGACATACTAATTTTATATTTAAAAAGTTATTTAGCACGTGCATAGCACATGTTGGAACCACCATATATTTTGAACGATGTGTATGGGAGTTTCTAGCCATAAAAAATGAGTTTTTATCGTCTCAGTTTATTCATCAATATCTCATCTTTTATTATGGGCGATGTGTATTATCTAAATATGGTTATTGTGTCGTTGATGATCCATTCTTTTTTTGCTTCTTTTATTCCTCTCTCCTACTTTAGTGGTGGTTCTCATCATTATAGTTATTTTAAATTCAGACTTTTTAATTTTGATTATTATTTTTTAGTTATTTTTCCTTTTGTTAAAATTTTGTTTATTTTCAATTCAACCCTTGGTATTTGAATTGTATAAATAAAGTATTTCAATTCGGTCCTTCTATTTTTTATTTTTTATTTGTTGTTATATCAAAGTTTTGATAATTTATAATTTTATCTTTCAAATCAAGTTTATGTTTTTTTTTCAATAATAATAATGATTTCAAGTTTGTCTCCTTTCGTTTGATTTCTTATTATTTTACTTGGTTCTTTTATCAAACCTTTTATAATTTTCAATTTTATCCTTTAAATCATGTTCGTAGTTTTTATTTTTTCAACAATAACAGCAGCAACAATAATAGCAGCAGCAACAGTGGTGGTGATCATTGTGGTGCAAAAAATAATATTATTAATAACAACAATAACAATAACAACATCTAAATTAGTAATGATAATAATAATGACAATGATGATAATGATTATTAATAATATCAATAATGAGAATAACAATAACAACAACAATGATGAAAATGATTATAATGATAATAGTAGCAGTGATGGTATCACTCACTAATAATAATAATAACAACAATAATAATAGTAATGGTAATTTTTATTTTTATTTTTATTTTTTGAATTTCAAGTTTTTAAAAATCATTTTATATGATTAATTTTTTTTCTGATTTTATCTTTTAATATTTATTTTTTTTGAAACAAAATTATTTGATTGAACTTGAAACATAAATGCTTTGAATGTTTATGTGTCTTATTAAAGCACTAAAGTTAATCAAACTATTTTCAAAACAAAATGAATTATATTGATTCATTTTCTTCAATATTTTTTTGTCAAAATATTATTATTTTTACTTTTTAGTTGAATAAAAAAATTAAGAGATTAGCTAGGAAAAAAATCATGTCAACACCTATTAATTTTTTTACTATTATTTTTATCAAAATAATATTATTTTTACTTTCTACACAAAAAAAATCTGATTAACCCCGGTAATTTTGATCACTCAACCCAACCTATGACCCGAGATATGACGAGATCAACTTCAAGACCAGGTTTTAAAAGCATTATAAAAGAATAAAACACTAAATACGATATGAGAATTCAATGAAATTGAACAACGAGGGATGAAATTGTCAAAAAAAACCAATCAAGAAGATAACTCAAAATAAAAAGAATTTCAACCATAAAAATAAAAATCAAATTCAACAAAAAAAATCAAATAATTAGGGATGAGATCAAAAAATAAAATCCAATTAAAAAAGATAAAAATAAAAATAAATAGAAATTAAAAAATAAAGGTCAAATATAATAAAAAAATATAATAAAATTAAATGCTAAGGGATGAAATTGAAAAAAAAAATCAAATTCAATAAGATTAATAAATTAAGGATTACTTTGAAATTTTGCAAAACCGATGCATATTTTAAGATGAAAGACAGAAAAAATAGAGAAAAAAAAATTATTATTGAAGTTTCATTGTATTTTTATAGTTATCATGTCCAAACAATTGTATTGAGAATGGTATACCATACATGTCAATTACTTATTTTTTTTTATAGTAATTTTTTTTTTATAAAAGAATCATAACATTCTTAATCTCAATCCATAATTAAAAAAACATGAGGTAAATAAAAAATAAAAAATGCCTCTTTATTTTAGATAGAAAAAGTTTAGTTATGAGGTAACTAGAATGTAAAATAACATGAAATTTATAAAAAAAACTCTTTATTTTTAAAGAATATAAGAGTAATTATACTATGCAATGAAGATGTAAATATACAAAATTATCTCTGAATATTTGTTTAATTATTTGATTTTTTAAGGAAGGCATCGATCATTTTGCTATAGATTTGCACATTGTATATTCAACATTAAAACAGTAATGCCTTCAGTTTTATTTTAAAAAACAAAACATATGAAAGGAGAGATCGAGGCAGCCCAAAATCAAAAGTTGGAGGGCCGATTCGATCAAATAAATTTATTCTACTGAGTTAATTTGATCAAGTATGGATAACGGAGGCATTTCCGGTGATTTTTAGCTGCTAAAAAGCTAGTAATGAAGGGGTGCGTTCTTTTCCGAGAAAGGGGATATTAGCACACTTAAATCAACGGTCAGGGAGATCTCCAGAAACAGAAGGGAGAGATGAGTCAGCACAATAGCAACAAGAACCAAAACTCACTGAGTCAACCCACTCAGCCACCCTCTTCTCTCTCTATTCTCTCACCAAACCAAACCCGAATCAACCCAACCCTTTCTTCCTCACTACCTCTTTCTTCCTCTTTTACCTTTCTCCCTGCTCGTTTATTCGTTCACCATTACCATATCTCCTCTTTTCTGTACCCTTTTCGGTCTTTTCACCACTTCCAAATCGGACGGCCCGCTTTCCTCCACGTCACCATCGTCTTCTTCACCTCCTCATCTCCTGTCATCTTCTCTCCCTGTCTCCCTTCCTTATTTACAAATTACATGCGCCTCTCGCCCTTTTTTTTGGTCTTCTCCATAAGAATCTCACTCCATCTCTGGCGCGAACAAGGTAAGGTTTCTTTTTTTACTCGTCTATTCATAATTATAAATCAGTATTAATCTTTCTGAGATTTATTTATTTTTTCTTTTGGATTTAGGGTTATGTTTTGAAATTGGAGCGGGTTACTTATCGTATATTGCTTGCGTGGATGGCGATTGAGAAGAACAATTTCAAGGTATCTAATAAGTTTGACGCGGAGCTTTCTCCTGATAGCAGGGATACTGCCATGTCCAGTGACGAGGACGAGGATGAAGATGACCTTCTTCATCAGCAGCGGATTGGGTCTGATGAGGATGAAGAGGATGACGTTGATGTTGAAGAGGGTGACGAAGACGACGAAGAATTCAACGATGCTGATTCTGGGGCAGGATCTGATGATTTTGACTTGCTAGAATTAGGGGAAACCAGGGCTGAGTTTTGCCAATTCGGGAATTTAACTTGCAGTGTTCCCTTTGAATTGTATGACCTTCCTGGATTGCAGGACATATTGTCTGTTGATGTGTGGAATGATGTTTTAACCGAAGATGATAAATTTAGCCTCACTAAGTATTTACCTGACGTTGATCAGGATACCTTTCTGCGAACCCTCAAAGAGCTTCTTGAGGGTGGGAATTTCCATTTTGGTAGTCCCGTCAACAAATTGTTTCAGATGCTCAAGGGGGGGTTGTGTGAACCGAGGGTTGCCCTTTACAGAGATGCTTTGTATTTCTTTCAGCAAAGGCAGCATTACCATCTTTTGAGGAAGCATCAGAATAGTATGGTTAGTCATTTGTGCCAGATAAGAGATGCTTGGCATGATTGTAAAGGGTATAGCATTGGTGAGAAGCTTAGAGTTTTGAATATCATGAAGAGTCATAAGAGTTTGATGCATGAGAATGCGGAGGGAGAATTGGAGAGTGGCTCATCGGACCAAGGGGAACCAGGTGATAGGTTTTGGGACAGAAGGGTTAAAAATAAGAAGAGTGCATCCAAATTTGATCGTACTTCAGCATATGGCGTTGATTCTGGTTTGGAATTTTCTTCACAAGTTGCAAAGTATGGAAAGCAAAATCCCAGGGGTATACTGAAGTCAGCTGGGTCAAGAGATCCTTCAACTAGAGATGTGCCGGGTCGCTTTCCTTCTGTTTATCATGGTTTGGGGATGACTTCAAGTCCCCATGGATCAGCATTGACACTTTCTAGGCAGAATAAGCTTGCTGGGTATGACTCAGGAGATGCACCCAGGCTAAGGGATCAAATGACAATTGAAAAGGATGATACTGAATATGCAATGTACAGAATGGGTGTCCAACGAGATCGAAATATGGCACTTGGTGGTGATATGGTGAAGTCCAGGGTTCGAAAAGCAGGAAAGAAGCATGATTTCTTGAGAACTAACAGATTAGATGCTGACAGTTTCATGAATTTGCCATTCTCTTCAAACAACGACTTGCATGCCCACGGCAGGGACAATAATGCAGGTCAGCTGTCAGAAGCTAAAGCGTTCACATCAAATATTCTCTATAACCGGACCAAGTCCGAGTCTTCCAAAAAGACCAAGTATGCTGAAAATTCTCCGCAATTCTCAGTTCCTGATCAGATGAAATACTCGAAAGGCCAAGCTCTGCTGCTACCACTGAAAGGTAATCGAGTTGACTTATCAGATCATGCTGAACCAATTTGCCATAGCAATAATCAAGGACAGGTTTTCTCTATGGATTCTACATTTAAATCTAATGATTGGAATATGAGAAGTAAGAAATGTAGGACGGGGAGAGAGTCCCCGGATCTTAATTTCAAAGCTCATCGAGCATTGTCGCCCCAGGTGAATGATGGAATTGCGCTGCCTCGGGTGAAAGCAAAGCAATCACGGGAGAAGATCAGAGGGAGTGTTATTCAGAATGGAAGATCAGAAAAGAGAGCATTGAAAGCTAACAGAATTTATATAAAAGGTGAAGAAACAGAATCAGACTCATCTGAACAATTTTATGATGAGGATGATGAGGGTAGCAATCCTTTGATGAAAAGCAAGTCAGCTTACCCTGTCAGTATCATAGAAGGTTCTCGGTCGTCCTTTTTGAAGTCTAGCTTAGGTGCTAAAAAGGCCTCCTTTATTAAGAAAGATGTGCAGGAGAATGAACTGGCTTCCGATGGAATTGCACACTTTTCCCAAAAGGTGAGTGACTTTACTGAGCCTGGGCAAATGCCAAGATACTTGTCAAAAGCTAAACAAAAGGGTAAGATGCATGAGACACATAGCTCTAGTGCTAGAGTTTTGGAAGACAGCTCTCTCACTGGCCTGGGTAAACTAAAGGATGATAATGACAGAAACAGAATTCACAGATCTGGCAAGATTGGTCAATTACGGGTGGAATATGATGAAAGGTTACGCAGGTCCTCATCGAAAGCCTACCCTTCTGACCGAAAGCAGAAAGGGGAAGTCAGCCATGATTTCATTGTTGACGATGAGGATGGTTTACTTGAAACACAGTTACTGTCAGATGAAAATGCACTGGTTAGATTGCGAAAGAAAGGACGGAACATGGAAACATATGCTCATGGTCAAAGTGACCCACCTGAGGCTTTGTTGCTGGGGTGCAACTCAGGGATGAAGAAACGGAAAGCAAAGTACGATGTGATGGACATGGCTGGCAGAGACGAAGATGGTAATAGGCATTCTAACAGTGTTGAGCCGCAAATTGACAACTCCATTTCATTGAAGAAAAAAGGGAAAAGGAAATTGGAAGCTGACGATGTTATTCCAGACTGGGAAACTCCTGAGGCACCTGTTACAAAAACAGGAGTGGTGGATGTGGAGCTGGAAGTGAAGCCTCAGAAAAAGCCATATACACCGATTACACCAACAGTTCATGTTGGCTTCTCATTTTCCATTATACATCTCCTTTCAGCAGTTCGTTTGGCAATGATCACTCCTCTTTCAGAAGATTCCTTAGAGGTTGGCAAACCCACAGCAGAGCTGAACAGAGCACATGAAGGTGACAACAATGGGGTTCTTTCTAATGAGAATGCAGATGTTAATGAATCAGACCCTGCTGTGCAAGTGAAAATGCCTTCTCTTACTGTACAGGAGATTGTTAATCGTGTGAGATCAAACCCTATGGATCCCTGCATTCTTGAGACGCAGGAGCCACTCCAGGATTTGATCAGAGGAGTTCTCAAGATATTTTCATCAAAAACAGCGCCTCTAGGAATGAAGGGCTGGAAAGCACTTGTATTTTATGACAAATCTACAAAAAGTTGGTCCTGGATTGGTCCAGTTTCTCACATTTTGACAGATCATGACACTATTGTTGAAGGGACGTCTCCTGAATATTGGAGCCTTCCTCACAAAAGTTGTGTCAAGTTGGTCGACTCTTTTGCTAATTGGCTGAAAAGTGGGCAAGAGACTCTTCAACAAATTGGAAGTCTTCCTGCACCGCCTCTGTCATTGATGCAATGTAACCTGGATGAGAAAGAGAGGTTCAGGGACTTGAGAGCTCAGAAAAGTCTCAATACTATCAGCCCGAGTTCTGAAGAAGTGAGAGCTTATTTCCACAGGGAAGAAGTCCTGAGGTATTTGATTCCCGACAGGGCCTTCTCATACACTGCTGCTGATGGTAAAAAGTCTATTGTTGCTCCCTTGAGGAGGTGTGGTGGGAAGCCAACTTCAAAAGCTCGAGACCATTTCATGCTGAAGCGTGATCGACCACCTCATGTTACGATTCTTTGTCTTGTGAGAGATGCAGCTGCTAGATTGCCAGGAAGCATCGGCACTAGAGCAGATGTTTGTACTTTGATACGAGACTCTCAGTATACTGTCGAAGATGTGTCTGATGCACAAGTGAATCAAGTTGTCAGTGGAGCCTTGGATCGTTTGCATTATGAGCGTGATCCCTGTGTGCAATTTGATGGAGAAAGGAAATTGTGGGTTTACCTGCACAGAGATCGAGAAGAAGAAGATTTTGAAGATGACGGTACTTCATCTACTAAGAAATGGAAGAGACAGAAAAAAGACCCTGCTGATCTATCTGATCAAGGAACAGTTACTGTTGCTTTTCATGGGGCAGGGGATCAATCTGGATTTGATTTGGGCTCTGACCTCAACGCTGAGCCACCAGCTGATGATGATGATAAAAGAGCAGATCTTGTTTGTAGTGATGTGAGACACAGTGCGGAAGATCCTGTTGACACCACTCATGTGCTCCAGCAATGCAGCACATATCAGGGTGAATCAATGGTTTGGGAGGCCCTGAGCTTAAATCCATTGCAAGAGAACAAATTGATATGCCAAGAAGATTCCACAAATGAAGATTTTGATGATGAAACATTTGAGACAGAAAGGCCAGATGGAATCTTAAGTACAAGCTTATTATGAATAATTTTTCAGGTAGATTTAAATACCATCATGCCTTTACCTAGATGCCATCGTGTTCTGCTATTCTTTAGTTCATGGAATATGATCATTCTCAATTGAACGGGCTATTTAAATTTATTTTGGGAACCAAAATTTTTTGTGTATCTGCTTTCAAAATTGCAGTAAACTTTTTCGCTCTTAAATGTATAAAATTGAACACGTGCATGGCAGGTCTTAAGATCATTGAGTTACTGGCTCCCTTGCTTTTCAGATTATCATAAACTGATGTGCTGCTATGCATCCAATCACAATGACTGTTGAGATGCAGAACGTTGCTTGCTGTCAAGGTTTCATAAAGATTTTGAAGTGCTACTTTAATGTACATGGTGGTAGTTTGACTGGGGATTTAGGGAAGGAGGGACCTCCATAGGTAGTTCATTCAAGTAGGCACATGGAACGTTTCCTGGCACCATAAATTGGAGAGGGCATTTAGAAGATCAGCGCAGCTAGGGGTTGTGACAGAATAAGTTAGAATTGTAAGTACAGTGCTGTTTAGTGCATGTTTATCAGCTCACAATAGAGTCTGCTGCTTGCTGTTTAGTGTATGTTTATCTGTTCACAATGCTTTGTCATGAGTGTATATGTTCAGAAGAAATGTCAGTGGGTACCTTGCATTCTGAGGTTTTTTATTTTTGTTGTTGTCGTCGTCGTCGTTTTGATTCATTGAAATTGCAAGATGATTTACCTGTACTGACCATCTGATTTAAAGAGAGATCTAACAATGCAGAATTGTCTTGTGTTGCAGGTGCTGGTGCAGAAGTCTGTCTATGCTAGAAGTAATGTGCCAGTCATCCTCTCCAAGCTGTCATGCATAAAATGCTATTGTATGTACATTGATGATTTTAGTGCAAAATGTAGAATAGCAAGTGACCAGACTTTCTATTCCTTGTTTGAGGTCCAGAATATGTCCATTAGCTGGTTCTGTAATCCCAAAATAACGTTTCCTTTGCTTTCTAATTCGTTATGCAGATCATTTCGAAATGTAGGCCATCCATCCTACTTCCCTTGAAATGAACAAGGATTGCTCCTTCGACATCTGTTATGCTCTCTGGCTCTTACCACTAGCGGATCATTCTGCTCTCAGCAACGTCCCAAAGTAGCAGTTGAATTCAAATCCTCACACAGGTTAGAGAGGAGAAACTTCTACCATAACTTAAGCAGAACACTCGCTCCATCTGTATCATATCAAATTTTCCGAACGAGTGCATTATCAAGTCAGTAAGAATGAATTTTGTGACACACACACTCTCTCACGCCTGTGCTTCTTCTCCTCTTTTATTATTCTATTAATTTGACAGCCTTGCCATTGCAGGCTCCCCAATCAAGCAAGATCCTCTATTTTACCAATAGATTCTACAATATTAATAGTCTTACCCCTTTTTGGGTCGCCCACAATTCCCTCTTGTAGCAAATGACAAAAACTTGCATTTGAGATCCTTTTCTCTCGCTCTTTTTTTTTCCTTTCAGAATTGAATCTCCTTTTATAAAATGACCCTTGTGTATCAGATAATACATTAACCTTCCTTAACAACGGTAGAGATGAGTTAATTTAAAGGGAAAAATATCAAATTAGCCCCTGACATGCTATCCAATTTTCAATTGAAATAGTCTGAGGATATAACTAACCTAAATTTTTAAATTTGAATAATTCTTTTAACATGATGTTGAGAGAGTTTGAAAGTAGAAGTTGATTTTTAAAGTGTTTTTTGTTTTAAAGTATATTAAAATGATTTTTTTATTTTTTAAAAAATATTTTTTATGATTTGAAATTTTTTTTTTATTTTTTTTTAAAGTATTTTTGAAATTTAAAAAATAGACGTGCTAACAGGGTGGAGAAGAAGGCCTTGTACCAAATTAAGTTAAAATAAGCCCACAAAGGACTAGGTACTAGCTGACAAGTTTACAAAGATAGGATGTACACGTGGCAAAAGAGGACCACACCTGAAGAAAGAAGCCGGAGATAAGAGAGCACGAGCACAACAGTGTGGTCGAGAGAGACCAAGCCGGTAAATCCGAGAGAGAAGGTGCCGCCGTGTGCTCACGTGGTTAATTAATAAATCTTGATGGTGGCAAGAATAGTAATTTACAAGGATTTAATTGTATATTGTTGTCAATCACTTTTACAACTCTGAATTGCTTTCTTTAAGAAATAAGACGTGAACAATTAATAACAGCTGAAGGAACATCTTCTACGGGTTACTTTACTATCGTTTCTGCAAACATGCTTACAGCTGAAGTCTTGGAACAGTGACTTGTACTGTGTCAAATTAGATGCTTGCTTAATTGCAAAAAATTAATATGTTAAGCACTAGATTTCAAATTCATCTCGCTTAATTGCTTCGGATAATCTCTCTCCATGGATCCATTATGTCTTCTTCCTTCTTGGAGATTGCACACTTGGGACCCGAGATTATGAAGGATGATGATATTGAAGAACAACAAATTAATATTTTCATACAAAGGAGAACTTCCTTTAAACTTACAATCAACGAATAAGATATGCAGAGTTCGTGCTTGATCGTATATATACCCTTCTGTACACATACCCCCCCTCCTTTACCACTCTACACTACCTCTCTAACCGTCATGTTCTCTGCTCACTTCAGTTAATAGCGGTGAGAGGAACTCTAGGGTCTCTTAAGGATTGGGCAGCCTCATATGCTGCCGCAACATGTTTGATGTCTCCATTTACTTGTTTTGCGGATTTCGCATCCCAGATTGACTTCAACAATTCTTCAAAAGCAGGAGTTCTAAGCTCTTCAATTGATGCAATGGTTGGCAGATTGAATGACCTCTTTCTTGGTGTTGAACAAGATGGCTCGTCCACCTGTTAGTTGGAGGATGAAGCAGTTCAGCGAACACATAAGAGATGATAACCACAGTGATGGTGTTTCTAAAATGAACATGTATGTCATTGTTTATGGCAGGCCCAATTTTCTATAAATGAATATCAAAGGCTTACCACGTATTCATCCAGAAGACATTTCCCAGCATTCTCTGTAATTTCAACAATCTTGTGGTAGTGGCTACCCTTAAGTTCCCTCAGATCTTCACAGCAAGGTAAAACCATGGAATTGAAATTTCCACAAGCATCATGGTCAAGATTTAATGAATCTGCAGGGGTTACTTTCATCAGTTTACTTTCATAATGGACAAATATCAATACACTTGCAGAACAAAATACTGACGTTCAATGGATAAGAGGAGAGTATTGTTCGCAATGTCAACATCTTCAACTGCAGTTGATACAGCGGAAGAAAACTGTCCACGAAGGATTTGGTTGGCTTCGGTTCCTCCCCTAAATGAAAAGTGAAAAATAAGTTGCCGATCTGAAACAAAAAGCTAGAAGAATACTCGTGGGAAGTACCACCATACCTAACAATGGAATCCACAGAAGCAACATTGCTTTTTTCTAGGATGAGCAAGGATTCTTGAGCATTCCTCCACTGTTGGGCACCCATTTTGGCCTTATTTAAACTGAACAAGTTGAGGAACCAATTCAGAAGAGAGTACAAGAAAAAAAGAAGCATACCACACGATACCAGGATGAAAAATGGTCACCAACAAAAAAAAAAACAAGAAAACAGATTGCAAAAGTGGCCAATACCAGTTATGTAGAACCTCCTCCAGGACTTTCCTTCCACTTTCCACAGCAGAAGTGTTCTCAAAATGATTGGACTCTGTTTTTTCCATGTGGACTGTCCATTCAGCTTTAATAGAAGATGTGGTATCCTGCATTGTTGACATTTCTTGCTGCAGTTTGTTAGTTCTACTGTTTGCACTTTCCCGGAGTTCATGCACTGCCATTTGCACCTGAAGAACACACCAGGTGAAGATCAAGCACACAAAAAGCCAGCCAACCAAACTGCCAGCAAACCAACACTGAAAAGTGACTCACTAGTTTTTTCTTCCTCGAGTTTGAACTTTCAAGCAGCTCTGCCACTTTCTCCAACAATTGCCTTTCTTCATTCGCAGCACACCCCTACACAGTTACAAGCAAAACACATAAATTTTATTCAGAAAACGCCTCATAAATTGATCTATGCATTCTAAATTTGACAACAGAAACCACCTCAAACTTCTTTTCTAGTTCAGACAATTTGTGATCATTGACTATTTGTGCTTCTTCCACAATTTGGGTCAAGTTGGATGCATGCATGTCTAGAGTCTCGACAAAGTTAACTACGACTTTCGAAACTGATCGTGCAGTTTCTACTGCTCTGGAATGTGCCTGTAATTGGTATCAAAATAGAAGCATTCATTTGAAATAAGTAATAAAATCCAAACATCTCCCAATTAATGGCTATTATAAAACCAGATAGCCAAATACCAACCTCATGCTGCTGTTGTGCATACGCACTTAGCTTTTCCTGTTGCATCTGAAGATTGCTTTGAAGATCATTAATTAACGCATCAGCTTCTGAAGCAATTCTTTGGAAGAACTGAAACAAATAAACAAACTAAACTCAGGCAAGTGAAAAGGAATTAAGGTCACTTAGCATAAGTTTGATACTTACACCCTCAACAGCATGCGAGTGCTTGGAAACTTCAGAATTCAGACTACCAAAAGTAGACCGAGAGTTTTCCTCAAGCTCCTTAGCCATATCATCCAAAGCTTTGATACCTGATCCATACATCGTTTTCAGCTTTCCAACCCTTCCTCGAAGTTCTTCAGTAGCCTTCATGAATACCAAAAAAAATTGTAAGAAATGATAGACAAGTACGAAGACAAGTTCAATTATCATCATGTTTGTATCCAAACCTCAGCCTTTATCGATACAAAGGACTGCATATCTTCCTCCATGTCTTTCAGTTGCTTCTCTTGTTGAGTCATTGAGGCCGCCACAGTCGAATGTAAGATCTCAAGTTGTTGGGTCAACTGGGACTGGAATTTCTGTGTAAGTACCCTGTTTCCGTCTTCAATTTTATCCTTGTGCTCTGAAAACCATTTATTGATAACAATCAATCACCAGTGGTTTCAACATAATACCGAACCTCTGTTTAAATTTGGAATCAGTACAAACCAATTTTGGAAAATAAACTGGACACATCTGATGCAGCATTTTCTAGCTCTGATCGAAGCTCAAATGCACGCTCAACTAGTCCTTTCTCTGAAAGAATAACAAAGTTCACGGTCAGAGAACAAGCCAACACATAAGAAGAAGACACATAGATAAATTTCAAACGTTGAACACTAAATAAATCATGTCAAGCACAGTAACATGGAAGCTTTGAACAAAAGAAAAGTTTATTTATCAAATACCAGTCACATAAATCATACTGGTTAACAGATATACAAGATATTTTGAAGCTCATTATCACAGAACTGTCGAGTAATGAAATCAGAACAAAGAATGGAATCATATCTTTCATCAAGGATGTCCAAAATTTCTTTTACACCACTTCTCTCTCCACCAATACAGATTCACTAATTGCACTCAAACAATAAAAAAGAAAACTCAAGTACAAGATGTCTCACCAGATTTGAGGAGATTAGATATAAAAAATTCTTTCTCCTTTATAGTTATGTTTGCTTGTCTGTGTTTTCCTTCCAGATCTACTAATGAATTTTCAGTTTCCTCGAGCTTTTTCTGAATTTTCAAGGAAGAGAATAATAAACTCAGATCTTGCTGGTGGAAGCAGAAAGGTGGAATGAAGAAGGTCTACGTGTTGACCACCTCATGTAGCTTACCTCAGTTTTATCAAGTTTTTCACTTAAATCTGCTGTCAAACGTAGCTGAGAATTGTGGAGTTCCTGGATCTCCAAAAATTGCTGATTGCAAAAGACAACAAAATAATTAGACTGATTTTCGTGCATGGAAACTAGCAAAGAACCATGCAAAAATATTGATGAAACATACCTTGTCCTTGGATTCTGAATCAAGTTCCATGCGTTCTATTTTTTCGGCCATTTCCTGGACAGATGAAACACAAGAAATGATCAATATTCAGACTTCAATGTAAAGCCAACTGAAGAAAATATCAGCACTTATATGGTAGGACGTGAACCTTCTTTTCAGCTTCATCTTGAAGATAACGATCTCGTGGTATGTAGATTCCATTTTTCTCTCTGGCAGCATATACCTCTGACAATTTGTTTTTTTTTTTTTATAAGAAATCAACACGTTAAAAAAGTTGTCAAATCTAACTGTATGAAAAGGTTTATGTTTATAAGAAATTGGAGGATGCAATTCAATTGCATAGGAATGTTTATGTTT